AATGGAAAAAAACTCATAAAAAATTAACCAACGTAAATAAAAAGTAAAAAAATAATTTCAAACCTCTTTAGACAAGTTACAAAATAATTTTTATAATCTTACAAAAAGTAGAAGTGTAAATTTAATTTGTATCTTAGTGAATAATCATCAAATTAAATATATATTTTAATATATGAATATTATAATCAGTTACCAACATTATTATAAAGTTCTGTGAGTATTTCAAATACGCTTTCATCAATGTTTTCCTTGGTGTAAGCTCTTCCCCAATTTCCATCGTGCTGGCAGAATAGAGCAAGTTAGAGTTGAAGTGGCCTGGTCGTGAAATATCAAGGCAATCGATCTATACATCCCCACGCACCACCCCCGATTTGCCCCTTTTGAATGTATGGTATATTGTATCCAAGCTGCAGCTTAAGTGTGTGCGAAGGGGAAAATTGGGGGGAGGGAAACGTTTGGAAGGAAGGAGGGATTCTATTTGTGTTTGCTTTGGTTTGGGTGTTGACTTTGACATTTGTTTTGTGTGGCTTATCCTTCAGATTCGCACAGGGCCCTCCCCCCGGTCCCAGTCGTAGTCCACATGACCATCCCCTCGTCCATCTTCCTCCCAAAAGCCAGCCCATTCTCTCCTTTCAGGCCACCACAATGGGGCATCAATCGGCGCGCATTTTTTGCCGTCTATTTAGCCAAGTTTCGTTTTTCATTGTGTGGACTTTGTGGATGTAGCTACAATGGCTTTTAAATGGCCGCTCGTGTTTCGCTCAGCGCTTTGCTTTGGACCCTACCCAAAGACCCAGACCCAGATCTCGACTACTCCTATTTCATGGCTGCCTACTTTACGGCCAATAAAATCGCAACGCCTTGGGCGTTATATCTCCTCCGGACTCCCAGCCTCCCCTCTCTAAATCGCTTACAGTTGGCAGCCTGGCATATTTATCTATGGAACTCGAAATTGAAAAGCATTTTCCCTCTGCGTGTGAATGTGTGGCAGATTTGCAGCGGAGAAAGCGAAAATTAAATATGTAAAAGTATAGCCAATGCATACAATATTGAATGGGACATGGAACTGAGGGACTAGGGGCTTTGGCTTTATTCGTGTGATTTATTTGCCGGCTGCGTGACAAAATTGTACTGGGATTCCATTAACGGTTCAAATGTGTCACTGCATTGATGGAATTGGGGATGGGGATGCTGTTGCGCTGATTATAATGTTCATCATGATGTATCCATCAGCGTAAATCGCAACGTTAATCGGCCCACAATTTATATGCATTAAAAGAGAGCCTGCGGACAATCCACTCGGTCAGGCACTTCAATGTTGATTTCCCTCGGCAAAAGTGCGCTCCGTTGTTTTTCTATGGCGACATTTGATGGGTTATTTTGTCAGTCAAGCACCTTGTCAACACAAATGAATTCTCCAAATAAAAATTAACATAAAAGGGGCCAGGCCCAGATAAGTTATAAAAAAATTTTAATGAAATTAAAATTGTTTTCGTTGAGCAAATGAAAAAACTGAAACATCATTGGCGCTTCTCTATATCTATATATGTGTGTCCAGTGAAGTGACGCAGGCAATTAAATAAAATGGATTTCATTTTCAAATATCAATTCTCTCTGCGCTTTCAATGAACGAAAATGCTTTCGCATTGTGCGCGGAATTAATTGAAGCATTTTTAGAGCCATATTGTGAAACAAAAACTATGGTGTTTGAATTTAGAAACTTTGATCGTATCAGAGACCAAATTCTAATAAATGCAATGCTTTAACAAAAACTAGGTAGCTATGGTTCGTAATATGCAGATTCCTGTTGGTGATTTTTTTTACATTTATCATATTTCTTTTTTATAAGGTAAAACGGGTCCCTATTTTTGGCCAACCTACTTAATTAAAAGAACGAAACTAAAAGCATTCTTGCATTGCATTATAAATAAATGCTTAGATATTTAAATTTATGACAAGTTTTACAAGTGCCAACCATTCTGAAATTCTTGCACTTTTAGAAATGCACTTTAAAAATAATTATATAAGTTATGTTCAAGTTAAATGCTTGAATATAAATTGAAATATTACCACTCATTTAATTGGCAGCAAATATACTTTGCAAAAATGTTATAAGGAATTTTATAACATCCTTCAAAAAAATACGTATGATAATAAGGTATTTAATGAAAATATTTTCATAATTGGCCAGTCACATATTCTTTCTATTTCAAGATAACAAAACTGAATGCGGTCCAAAAACTCATTAAAGTCGGCCAAATTAAATCAGAGTCATTTTTAATTTGTGAGGAATAAGAAAATATGGAGTCTCCACTTTTCTTCAGAACAGAACAGAAAAGAAAACCATTCGGTGCAGCTCAGGTGTGTGGTGATGATTGCGGCAGGTGGGCAGGTAAGGCAGGTGTAAATGTGGGGGAGTGGCAAATTGCCAAGAGCAAATAATAGGCGACACACTCGCCAAGAGGAAGGCGGAGAAAAAGGAATTTCGTGAGTGCGTGTAAAACGAAAAGTTTTGTTTATTAAATAAAAATAAATGCAAGTTAATTAATTAAAACTTTAAACAAGATAGAGCATGCGCGAAACTTTCTTCTTCAAATGGGGGCTCAGCTCAAAATGCTGTAAAGTGTGTTAAGCTAAATTAGCGGGGCCCAGAAGCTGGAATCTGGAGAAGGATCTTGGAGAAAAAAGTTTATTGATATTTCCCCCACTTACAAATTATGTTGCACACTCTGTTTGTCACGAAATTTGGCAACAATTTGGCCACACAACCCAGAAACTCAAAACACTCGAGGCCGTCCAATGCCAAGAGCAAGAATAGCGTCGTCTAGAACAGCCGCAACTATATGTAGAATGTATATAGTTGAAGAGTACGCAGAGCTAAATTAAATTTAAAAAATGATTTTCATGACATTAACATTGGCATTTGGCTGCCGCTTATGTTCCCGCCGATGTGTCGGGCGTTAACTGCACGATGGAAACATGGCAACATTTTTGTGATAGCTATAGATGCAGAGATACAGATACAGATAGAGGTACAGATACAGATACGCAGTTTCGGATACAAGACAGCTGCGTCCGGCGCATTTGGGGGCTCCATAGCTCGTGCTTCCGTTGCCGGGACACTGTCATCGCTTGTCACTCATCCGCCAACCTTCTGCGTTGCCCAAAAGAGATTCCGTGTTTGCTGACAAATTCGCTGGGGGAATATAAGTATATTTTCGAATCGCAGCCGCCCTTTCACTCCCCCATTCCCGCTGGGTACTTGGAGAACCCATTAATTAAATCAACTTTTAATCTATTTATACATAAAACTGAAGGAAATTCATTCTGCCACAAAATTAATTATACGCCCACGCGCCTTCAAACCAGAGTGCTGCCGCCAGCCAGTGCAAAATTATAAATTAAAAAATTATAAATATAAAAAAAAATTAAAATATCTAAAGCAGCAACCAACGCCTCTGCGGCAGCACTTTGATGAGCTGGGCATTCATAAAAAGAAACTGTTGTATTTTATTTATAAAATAAATATGGCGAGAGCAAAATGTTTTCCAATGCTTGCTTTTGTTGCTCGCCAATATTTATGTATGCTTAAATATTATTTTACCTATAATGTATTCACTTTTCCCCCCTCTCCTTCGATCTCTTGCAGTTGTTCAACTTGGAAAAGCGCCAGGGCGTGGCAGGAAAAATCAACAACCCTTCGCGCCATGTGGCTTCACTCACTGCGGCACAACTTTAGCGTGTGGACACTTTCATTTTCCTAATTAACAGTCTTGCAATCCGAGAAACTCAAACCGAAACAGTAAATCCAAACCCAAAGCCAAACGTAAAATCAACATCAAACTCAACTAAAAATGGTCGTGGGAAATGTGCAATAAATAAAAAACATAAAACACACCAACGCGAGTGACCAACGTATAATTTAGAGCTCGTGGCCACCAAAATTCGAGTGGCCAATTTGTTGTACGCCATTTAGCAACAACAACAGCTGCGGGCAGCAACATCAAACAGTCGGCCAAGATGCGAGCGTTGAAAGCGTGTGCGAACATGAAAATAAAACATCATCATCAGGAAATAAATTCGGGAAAAAATAAATATAAATACACATCGAAATGAATAAATATATAGACTAGCATATAGCCAAAGCCATATTCTATATTCTAAATGAATGCGCTATATCCCATCGAGGGGAGTGGCATAGGACATTTTACCAATCTCCCAACATTTAGTCGGGGGGTACAGGGCCGAAGAAACAGGCCAGAGCGGAATATACTCATCGAGATATAGACGTAGATATGGCGGCTGTATGCTAAAAGGCATTTGAAGAGAGTGACATTCTTTCGCCCAGCTGTTGTCATATAAATCATTGCTTTCGTACAGGGTGTGGCATTGAGTTCGGAGCAGTTAAGATTCGGTTTTAAGATAGTAGGCTCTATGATGATGACATCATTTGGAGGGTGCTTGTTTTGCAAATATTGTAATCCATCGGTGAAATTAGGTTTAAAGTTATTCTGTTATATCTAAATGTTTCGGGCACCCATAAGTTTAAATTATATTTTTTAGCAAATTAATAGCATTAAGGAGACCTTTAAGATATTTTTTTTCGATTTGTTTATCATCAATTAATAATAGAGCTATTAAAACATAAATGGCGGATATCAGTTAAACGTTTCAGTATAAAGCAAAAAAAACAAAATCCAGCATTAAAATGCTGGATGCACCGCGTTCTGTAATTTTTATTAAAAATACAAAGAAAAACACACCCTGTTTTATTCGCATAAAAGTCCGCGAAACACGCACAACATCAACAACTCAACTTCTGCGTCAGTAAATAAACAAATATTGACTCAAATCGATACAAATGCCAGCGGCAACAACTAGATAATGTACAAAAGTGATTATAATCGGGGCAACAAAAAGAAAATCGAGCCCATGTTTTTCCATGCTCTTAATAATGTTTTTTTTTTCTTTTTTTTTCCGATCCACCATTTATGGCACAGTTCCAGGAGGCAAAACATCGAATAACAATATCTGAATTAGTGGAAGCAGAGCTAAAAAACCAACCACTTGGCCGAAACAAACTAAAAATAATTTGAAGCCCAAGAAATGTTAAAAATAAAACCAAAAGAAATCAACGAATTTTTTTCGGCGGCAACACAAGGCGGCGGCAGCCGTGGCGGCAAAAAAATATGAACAGAATTAAAAGGCAGCCGCTTGGAGCTAGAAAAAAACCCAATCAGCGAGGAGGAGCAGCAGCAGAAGCAGCAAAAGCGAATTTTTTACACAAAAAAATAGAAGCCGCACCGCAGCAGTAAATAGCCAGAAATTGTCGCTGTCGTCGACGTCGTCGTCGTCGTCGTCCAGCCGAGGTAGCCATAGCCTCCATCAGCAGAGCAGCGGAAAAGCTGCGGAAAATCAACGGAAAAGCGAGGCCATCAAGAGCGTGTGGGCGGCGTTGGCTGGCAAGGACAGCCGTTGGTCGTTGACGTTGGCAGCGCCTGAAAACTGAAAACTGAGGAGGGAGAAGAGGCCGAGGCTGAAACTGAGGCAGCGGTAGCGGCGACGTTGTCGTGGCCACACGGTCGTCCACGGGCCACTTTCGCGAATCAATTTCCGTTGCGGTGGCCGTTTCAGTTTTGGTTTCAACGTCGCCGGCGCTACGCGTGTCGTGAATTCCCAATGGCGGTCCTCCTCCCACTGGGTGTTTCAATTTAGAAGTGCGAACAAATAATACCCCCCAAAACAGTGTTAAACCAAAATAGAGAGAGATAGAGATCTATCAAGCTATCAAGCCAAAGAAATAATATTTAGAAAAATTAAACCAGACACCGAGACTCAATGTTGTTGTGCCCCGAATCCGAACTTGGCCCGGAGCCACCGCGGCAAAGGCATCGCACCAGTGCCGCCAGGATACGCAAGAGACCGAGATGCTGTTGCGGGAAGGGTAGTCAGGAGGAGCAGCAGCCGGGAGTTAGCCCTACAACCAGCCCAAGCTATAGCCAAAGTTATGGCCAAAGTCTGACGACCCTGGCGCGGGTCACTGCGGCCGCTTTGGCCACGGCGGCCATGCTGCACACAACGAATGCCCTGGCCACCAGCTCCTCCTCCTCCTCCACCTCCTCCACTGCACTGCCACCATTGCAGGGCACTGCCACGCCCGCTTCACACGAACTGAATGCCACACAGCTGGGGGGCGGGGGCACGGCGGCGGGCTGGAACCTCAGCGAAAGCGGTGCCGGATTAAATGGACATCAGCATGCCGCTGACGAGGATTGGCTGGACAACATCTTCTGGCTGTTCAAGGCCTTCGTCATGCTGCTCATCATCATTGCGGCCATTTGCGGCAATCTGCTTGTTATTATTTCTGTGATGCGTGTTAGAAAATTAAGGTGCGTATACGTGATATTTAAGCTGCTACACCCACACCTACACCTACACCTGAGCCCCGATAATTAGCTGTGAAAAAGCAATTAGAAGTGCTCGCGCTCCGTGTAATTCTTTCGTAATTTGCATAAAACCGTTGAAGGGCCAGCGGCATTGTCCTCCGGCTGGCTTGATTGCCAATTTGCAGAGCTACCTCTACGAAAAAATTACAAAGCGCTTCGCTTTCTACGCTCGCGAATTTCGTCAACTTTGCATAAAATTCATGCACGTCCGCTCCTCTCCGGTTTTTATCCCTTAAAACGTGCTGCAGGACCTCTTTTTGCGTGCTCGCTTTGCTCTGTCATTGCTCGTCCTTGCCGCGACTCCTTGTCCCTTATTTACGTCCCTCATAATTGAGCATCTCAGTTGTGTTTTATCCTTCGTTTCGGCATGAGACTGCAGTATTTACTTCCACCATTTAGCGAGGGAGGCGGAGGCAGCCTCAACAAAAGAACGAACAGAGATGCATTATTTTAATGACAAATTAACTTTCATGACTTTGTTCATGAATCCAATTTGCATATTAAGAGATTCTTAATTGGTCGCTCGGGTAATGATTTAATTTGGCAAAACACATTCACCATCAAACCTAAGGTTTGACTTTAACAGCAACTGAATTTAAATGGAAATTTAACTAGCCATAAACTTGTTTGTTCTGACAATCCAAACAGGGCTTTGGTTTCAGTTCTGGAATTTATTGCTTTGTTTGAGGACACCAATATCTGGTTATAATGGCTAATAAGCAAATCATAACCATTTTTCCTTGAAAAACACACACATTTGGGGCGACCTCGTTAACGAATGATGGGTGGTGGGATTTTAAGGGCGGTGTCCTTCCACGAAAATCACATTATCATAAAAAAAAAACTTTTCTAGTGATAAATGATGAGACGTCAGCTGGCCTGGGTTCGTTAATATTTTTAGTTATGCCTTAATAACTGGCAGGCAAATCAATTTAGCGCTTCATAAAGCCGACGCAATCAAAAGTTGTTTTCTGGCTGACAAACGCTCGGTTATTTTTTCTCCATTTTTTTTGCCGCTAAGCTTTCTACGCAGAATTTTTTACCCATCAGAGGGAAAACTTTAAATGCTCTTAGCCAAAGTTGGCGAAGGGCAATGAAGCCAAGAGGCGAAACAAACAAACTTGGCTAGATGGCACAGAAAAACGAGGCAGAAAAAAATTATAATGAAAAAAAAGGGGGAGAGGCATAATTAAGGTTGAACCTCGCTTAATTTCTCTTTTTGCCCTCGCTGCTAATGAGAAGCATTTTATTTTTTAAGTGACTTGCGTGTTGCTGTATTCAGGTGCTGCCAGCCAGGCCAAACTAATGACGATGCCGATGGATGATCATCAAGATAATTTCGTTGCACTGATAATAAACTTAATAAAAATACGAGGTCCTCAAGGCCAAAGGATTAACTAAAATTTTTAAAAACTTTTAATGGAAGTTAGCAAAGAAAGTTGTCTTGATACAGTACTTGAGTGGTTCGTCCTTTTGATTTTTAGAAAATCCAAATAATTGCTTTATTTTCAAGAAACAAAAGTTTAAAATGTCTTTCAAAGCTTAAAACTAAAACTAAAAGCTTACCACTAGATTTTTATTAAAGCCAGATCCGTTTTTTTTTTTTGGTTTGTAATAAATTTTAAAGATTATTTGCTGGGATATGACTATCCCATAAGGTAATTAATACACACAAAAACCTAAATGTGAAGTCTTTTTCTGCTTGGTCAGCCTGCAGCTCAAATTCTATTGTTCTGAGCGGCAAATATTACGCATACGTAGCGTGAAACGAGGCAATGGAAATAAAAATGTGGAAAAGTTTACAAGCACAGAAAAAAGCACACACCCAGCTAGAAAAGAAATGACAATTAAACACTGCGAGCGTGTAGCTCAAAGAGAAATGGAACAAAAACAAAATGCATGCTCAACACGAGAATGGGAGGAGGAAAAGGGGTGGTGGTGGTGGGAGAGTGGGTGGGGAAATGTGGAAAAGAGCCGCGGGAAGAACAAGTACAAAAACAACACACACACAGCGCGGCTACAACTTTGGCAATTAAGGCAGCTTATGGTTTTTATGACAGCATAAATTTAAAATGTTCTATGCCAAACAATAAAATGGCGCTTTCTTCCCTCCGCCCAAATTATTTGGCAGAGATGAGCCGCAGCGAAGAGTGCTCTAGATAGCGAGTGTATAAGCGGATATATCTAGAGAATCTAGCGAAATATATGTGTGCTTTAATTTGCCATTACAGAGAGTGGGAAAAGCAGGGGAAAATGGCGGAAAAGGGGGAGCAACTGGGGGGCTCATTAACGCAGCGCCTTCTCTTGAAGGATGCTCGGCAACTGTTTCCTCCGCTCTCTCTCTCTGCAGCCCCTACTAAAAGGGGCTGCTTTTTGCTATTTTTCTTAAATTTAAATGGCAGGCAAATTATCTGCAGTTCAAATCGCAGGGTGAGAGAGGAGCGGAAGGAGCCGCTGACTAATGGCGGAACATTCTCAGAATGGCGTCGATTTGTTGCAATTAACGTCTGAGACGTTGAAAGTTATTTAAGTAGTAGCCGGGAGCAAAACAGATTACCAACTTGAAACTAAGTACAATAGCCTCGGCAGATGAGATTAATGTAACTTAAAGGCAACAAAAGAGGGAATGGATAAGGGAATTGCTAGTCTATAAAGCCTGGGAATTAAAACACACGTTCATAATTCACATGGCAAGCTTTTAAGGAATATTTATGTGTTTATTTAATATTTAGTTTACTCATTGAAAAAGACTTTAAGACAAGTTCATCCCTGGTTTTGCAAATAAAGTTATACTATTTCTTAAAGTATTTACAGCAGCATAACAAGAAAAAACTTGAATGTTGTTATTAATATTAAATTAAATTTAGCCTGCCCGTATATGAAAATAATCGAGCAAAAGTTTTCAAGTGCTGTAAATGCTCACTTTTGATTCCAAACTTTTCCCATTTGGTTTAGTTAGAATGGCCAATGGAAAGGCGGCCGGCTGAAGTTCAATGAGGTAGCTGCACTCATCCGATTAGAAAGTCCTTGGCCAGCAACTAGTGCAAAACTCTAATTGGCAAAAGCATTTGCCGGCACTCGGTTGGAATTCAATTTAAATAACAAAATAGGTATAAACTGGGAAGGGTTTGCCCAGAGGATTGCGGTTGAAGTCGGGGTTTTGCACCCCAACCCCGCCATCCCGAGTTTGTCGATGCTTACCCGTATATATCTGATTTTCGTTTGGGTATCGGCTAACCCCCGTGGGGGAAATCGTTCCCGATTCTTGACTGGCTTTTCAATTATACCCCCGCCGGCGAATGCCGTATGCCGAATGCAATGGGGTCCAGGCTGTCAGCGCATACAAAGGAACAAGTCCCCATCTACCATCACGCACTCACTCATCCGAAGGGTCCTGATTAGCCCCCGCGGGGGGTACGAAGGACCCCTCTTTCATATATGCTTCATGTATTGTTGGTTATTGTCCTCTGATTGCTAACATCTCGTTTTCTCCCTCCTTCTCTTTGCAGAGTTATAACGAATTACTTTGTAGTTTCCTTAGCCATGGCTGATATAATGGTCGCTATTATGGCCATGACATTTAACTTTAGTGTGCAAGTAACTGGGAGGTAAGTACAACAACAAACAGCAAAAAGAATACAACAAAAAAATTGAAAAAGAGAAAATAAAAAAAAACACATACCCACCCACAAAGCCTAAGCAGAGCAACAAAAGCGGGCAAAACTGTTGCAAAAATTACAGCTGCAACCAAAGGCAGGGACCAAACAAAATGCCAGTCCATCCAAGGTGGTTGGGTGGTTTGGTGTGGGCGGAGGGCGGATGGGCGGAGGCGGGGGCGTGGGCGTGGCAGTTGCAGAACAAACAACCAAAAACAAAAATCCCTGAAAAATGAAAGCAACGTTTATTTATGCTCCTGTGAATGTCCCTGTCTGTGTGCGTATACATATACAAGGCCCCCGTACTTTTTCGCATGTATTTGGTTGGTTGTGCGAGCGAAATGCAAATGCAGAAAGTCATCTTTTTGTGCTCATGTGCGTGCATTTGTGTTCAAGAATTAAAATGTGAAAAATAGAACAAACACAGAAAGGCATTCGTTCAAGAATACGATTTCGGCATACCCATTTTACTTTTCGGAATTTTAGTTGACAAACTTTTTAGAGAAAACTTACAGGAATTTAAACTTAGGCAAAATTAAAGTTTCAAATTTTTGAGTTCAACTTTAACTTTGATACTTGAAAGTAGTATTTAAATACTCACTAATTCTTGGAAAATTAGCTAAAATCCTTACAGTCTAAATAGATTTTTTTGGATTTGTAAAATGTATCCTTATCAAAATTAATGACATAAATTAAAAAACAAATTTTTAAAAATTTTTTACAAAACTTTTTTAAAAAATTAACGAAAATGTTGTAAGATTGTTGTAGCCTAAAATACCCGCAAGTAAGTCAAACAAGTGAGAAGTACCAGCTGAGAGGGAAACGGCAACTTTGAAAAGCTATTCCAAAGGACAAAAACCGTCATAGTGTGACATGGTCACATCCTTCACGCCGAAAGTCCGACGGTCCGACTCCTTCTCTATGTGTTTCTATATGGGTAATGCGATATGCGGCTGTGTACATATGTATGTGCCATGCCAAGTGCAGCCGACTGAGCCCAGTTAATTATGCATGGAGGCTGGTTTAAAGGCCGCGCTTTAAGCTCGACTTCAGCGCCAAGGGACCAATGCAAATGTTTGCAATGTCACTGCCGGCGACAACGAGATGCTGATTCTGATGGTGATGGGTGGCGGGATGGGGTATGTAGATCTGCCGACCATTCAAGTCACATTATGTGCACTTACTGCCAGGCCAAAAAACTTCAGCGGCGCGAGTTGCATATAAATTGGCATCGAGCAACGTGCTTTTCCTCCATCCTCCACTGGCCGTTCATTAGCCATTTCACCTTCACAGTTGCACAATTGCTTGTTGCATAATTGCAGCAGCAAGTGCTGTCGCCATTTCATGGCTTAAGCGTCAAAACCAATGGCGCCATTCCCCATCCTGGCTTTCCCCCAAAAGAATTGAGTGCAAAACCCCAAAAACGCCAACGACCAGCCTCGTTGGATAGTCGAAAAGTTTTTGAAACTGATGCCAAACGGGGCGCCCGATAATAAATTCCACTGCCTCCTGGCCAAAAAGGGCTGGGGAGCCGCCTCCGCCAAAACGGCCGAAAACGGAGTGGCAACCAAGGGCGACAGGCAAAACAGCGACGCAAGTTTTAATGAGTTTTTCATGCAGCCCACAGTCGCCTCTGCGCCTCTTTTGGTGGCCCTTCCATCCGAGCCACGAACCACGAGCCTTATGGCCTATTTTCTGGTCTCACAGTGCATTTAAGCTTTTAATTTGGCCCTCCGCACAGAGGCAGTTCAGGGGCAATGTCACCTGGCAACCGAAACTAAGATGAAATCGATAAACACATAAATCAGGCGGGCTGATAACGAAGTGGGGAAAACAGAAAGAGTGCGGGGTGCATTTTACTGCTTGTCTAGGCCGCTCGAGTTTTTTACTGGCCTACATTCAGGAATCGGCAGTTAAATGCCGTTTAAATTTAGAGCCCACTTTATTACATTTATGTTTTTTTACTTTTTTATGGCCCAAACTGCTTTTGTTGTTTAGTTTGAAATGGTAATAAATATTAAAGCAAGCTTTACTTCGTTGCATTATTATAGTTTTAAAGAGCCGTAAAGTTGGTATCTTTTTATTAGGTTCACCTTTTTTATTTTAAATTTATAATTTATAAATTTATTTAAAATGATTTTACCGTGAAAAACTAAGATTACAGAAAGCAACAAAATTTGAACCCGCTTTATAGCGATGACTTCATGAAAGTACAACCCTCCCAAGGCAGTTTAAAAGTCAGGCAAAAACCAGAAATGAATCATCACAAAAACTGCAGATCATGCATTCGATAATCAGATTCAATGACTTCAAAAGTTAGGGCCTAAAGTTTATTGCCTCGTTATTGAGTAATCATCGCGGTACTGATGCCTCCATTTATTGGACTCTTTCAGCTGGAAGTTCAGCCCCTTCCTGTGCGATTTGTGGAACAGCCTCGATGTCTACTTCTCAACAGCGAGTATTTTGCATTTATGCTGCATATCCGTGGATAGGTAAGCTCCCTCGCTGAAACAGAAATGAGAGCATATGGAGCACCAATAACCTGGCATTTTTGCGTCCTCCACACAGATACTATGCGATTGTTAAGCCGCTCAAGTATCCGATTAGCATGACGAAACGCGTGGTCGGCATTATGCTGCTGAACACATGGATATCGCCGGCGCTGCTCTCGTTCTTGCCCATCTTCATCGGCTGGTACACCACGCCACAGCACATGCAGTTCGTCGTGGACCATCCGGATCAGTGCTCCTTCGTGGTGAACAAGTACTACGCCGTCATCTCGAGCTCCATTTCTTTCTGGATCCCCTGCACCATCATGATATTCACCTACCTGGCCATCTTCCGCGAGGCCAATCGCCAGGAGAAGCAGCTAATGATGCGCCACGGCAACGCGATGCTGATGCACCGCCCATCCATGCAGCCCTCAGGTGAGTTCTTCGGGATCAGGATATATAGAGAAATTTTTAAGATCTAGTTTGTCAAGGTAGAAATTGAAATGCAGCCTCTAAAGTTGAAGTAGAATACCATCAATTCAAAAATCATTATTATATTTAAAGTTTAAGGTACTCAAGAATTTTAAAGCTGTATATACTTATTAGGAAACTTTGTATCAGATCAAAGTAAATAATTTTTTAAAATATTGAATATTCATTAAAACTTGGAGTAGTGTACATTTTGATGTGCTTATTAGTGTACAGTGTTTACGAATGTGTGTATAGAGAAAATCCTTCTAAAGTAAATAGTTTATAACACGTATATAAAATATGTAAATACTCCTATAGGGATGTCAATTGATCAGAAATGGCATTTGGTTGAAAAGTCCTTGTCTTAACCTTTTACAAGTAGTTTTCCCTCCAATGGTGACTGTTTTGATTGACAAGTTGAAAGCAAAGTGATGCAGGGCGGGTGCACCGAGTTCTGTGGCCCATCTCATGTCGGGACATTTATCAAATCTCCACTTGATCTCCACCGGCAGGCGAGGCGCTGAGCGGATCCGGGTCGTCGAAAACATTGACGCTGCACGAGGTCGAGCAGGAGCACACCCCCACTAAGGACAAGCACTTAATCAAAATGAAGCGGGAGCACAAGGCCGCACGCACGCTGGGCATCATCATGGGCACCTTCATCCTCTGCTGGCTGCCATTCTTTCTGTGGTGAGTATGGGTACCGTCGAACGTTGAACGCTGAACGCTGAACGGCAATCCCGCTGACATGGGATTTGGGGCATAATTTATCTAATGTCACGCATGCATAATTAAATATTACTCATACGGCCCGTGCATCATTGTTTCGGCGGTTGTTGTTTTTCGCACCGCCCCAAATATAATCTCATTTATGCAAAGCCCCTGGCCCACTCATGCATCTGGAATTTATGGGTACATATCTCATCTTGATTCCATACACAGACAGAAAGAGATCTTAAATGCAGGTCGAATAAAACTTAATCTTAAACCGCTTTGAATTGATTTATATTCAAACGAGATTTCTAATTATCTTAAAGCTTTAAAGAGATTTATTGTTTGTGCAATACATAAATAAAGAAAACTAAATTTTAGTTGTATAATAAATTATTTTAAAGTTTTGTATCATTATACACTTTAAGATCATTTACCGTCACAACGAATATGATTTCATAAAATATTATTAAATTGCCTTTTTCACTTCTTCAGGTACACCCTCTCCATGACCTGCGAGGTGTGCCAAGTGCCGGACATAGTCGTCTCGATCCTGTTCTGGATCGGGTACTTCAACTCGACGCTCAACCCGCTGATCTACGCGTACTTCAACCGGGACTTCCGGGAGGCTTTCCGCAACACGCTGCTCTGCCTGTTCTGCAACTGGTGGAAGGACCGCCACCTGCCGCTGGACATGGACATCCGGCGCTCCAGCCTGCGCTACGACCAGCGGGCGAAGAGCGTCTACTCGGAGAGCTACCTCAACTCGACGACGCCCTCGCACCGCCGCCAGTCGCAGATGGTGGACAACTTATAATACAGGGACGAGGCGCTGCTGACCCCCATCGCCCAGCAGCAGCAGCGGCTGGCGGCGGGCGGATCCCGCCTGGGCGGACAATTGGCAGCTGCCGCCAACGCCAGGGATGCGAGTCAAGGTCAAAGCAAGGCCAAGTCCAACGCTGACTGCTTGGCGGGCGAGGGCGACGATGTGCAGGAGATCCAGATCGAGATACCCATGGAGTACATCAACAAATGGAACAAGAACAACAATGCTGCCGCCTCGACGGCCTCGAGTCATGTGTAATGTGGAAGGGATGCGAATGCGATTGCGAATGCAAATCAATCGATGGCAGCCGGGGGAGGAATCAATTTAATGCAATTAAAATGTTCCATTAATTTGTAAAATTAATATGCCGGCTCATGCATTTACTCGTAATGTTGACATTAATCAATCAAGCGTTGGAGCGTGCCATTTCATTTGGCGTCGATTGTATTTTTTTCCTCTTTTCATTTATCGTTTTTACACACATATTATTTTTGAATTTCCGCTCGACGGGTTCCTTGAAGCACAGATCGGGGCTATATACACGTACTATGTAGGATAACTTATTTATTTATGATTTCGTGTCGTTTAAATCTTGTTGTAAATACTGAGTATTTTTGTACGACTAAATTAAGCACAGGTTGTAAATCATTTCTATTGTATGTACGCCAATCGAAAATCTGTTAACCGTAAAGCATTTCGCTCACGAAAAGAAATAACCAAAAATAAATTAAAATGGCAATCACTGCAACTCACGGAGCTATGCGTGTACATAGGGATTCGCTAAACAAAGAGCTAAAGCTAAAACTGTGCCAATTAAGAGACCGCAAATTATAGACAACTGTAGAGGGGAGAGGAGTCCTGAGGATATTTTCCCAGCGCTAAAAACCCAACCACACCCCAACGCTATTTAAATCAGAGAAATTTAGAAATTGAAAACGAAACCCCACAAAGTCACGGATGCTAAAGCAAAGCTAAAACCCAATTGTTATTTGAACGACAATCGCATGAATTGAAAATGCTCAAAACCTAAAGTAAACCTTAAAACGTATATCAAGTAAACATAGCGCAAATATATAGTCAAATCAATATACGATCCAGGCGTTCGGTCGAAACCAAAGCTAAAGCCCACGTAAATTAACCAAACATATAGTGCATCGATATCGGACTAACCAAATTACGTGTGTGTATGTGTCTGTTTGTGTAGTGCGGGAACCGATTTCGATTCCCTTAAACCGTTTCCGTTTCCAAAGTGTTTAGTTTCGAGTTACCTGGAATTGCAATATCGATATCTAGTGAAAGTGCGTCGGACGATGGGCAATTGCGTTGCAGTTCCTGGAATTAAGTTGACTGTGTAGCCTGTGAGGGCAAGGCTTGAGTACTGCTTCAGAAGTCAGCAACTTGATTCCAGCAATTGCGGCCCAATATTCCGCAACAATGAAAGCCCCCTGTTGGCCTCCCACGAATAACCGGAAATCCACTGAGTTTCGACTATGAAAGCTGAAATGGTAATGCAAATGAGGCGAATAAAGCAAATAAGCAGACAAAGCATTTTGTGTTCTTTGTATAAATAATAAAAATGTTAGCAACAGTTTGCAAAACTTACCGATTTATGATTTTCTCTTAAAACCGCTAACCAAGCGGAAAGTCAAGAACATTTGTCAAGTAAATAAATTTTTGAAAACCAAATGCAGAAACTTTTCGTTGCTGATTTTTCAAGCTAGTCTGGAACTAAAAAGAAAATAATTCGTTTGCCATGAGTGGATAACAAGGATTAAGAGCCAAAGCTCAGTATGTATCATATAAAGTGTGTATAAATAGATGTCTAAATAAATGTTATATTTATAGTAAGTATTTATTACATGACTTTCCCTAAAAAGATGAAATAAAACGGCAGAGACGACCGCAAACCGAATCTCCAAAGAACTTGTTATATTTTTATAAACAACAGACCCCGAAACTAATATTGTATGTGTAATTCGTATTTGTATATTGACAAGTCTGTGTATATGTGTGTGCGAGTTATTTATTACCATTATTATTCTTACTGACAACTGAACTTTTTGTTGCATTGTTTTGTGTTTTGCTGTGCAATTTTCCATGCAAAACCAAATAGGATCCTAACATTAAGCCAAGCTGACAAGCAAATCTAGCCCCGAGTGGGCAGACACGTAAATGGCAAACTAAGCTACTAACTAAGTGAATATGAAATTCAGATGTATTATAAAGCAACATAACGAACTTCAAGTTGGAAAACAAGCAGAAAAGCTAAATAAATTTAAAAACCACAAATATAGCAAAACGAACTTGTTTTTCATTCAACCCAAACCAACACAATCCAACACAAACCCACCCAACTGGCCAACTGATTACCCAAGTCAAAGTTCTGGACAAACTAAAGTAAAAAGTAAACAAAGTCGGGCAGGGCACCCAAATTACCCAGTCCGCATCGAAGTACATTAACAGCATATTATCAGGACAAAAGTAAAGCTGATTACTGCCGGCGACAGTTGTAAACTTCTAAATAACTGTCAAGTCTCGACTCTGGCTGACAAATTACAAATTTGTTCGAAAGCCCCGTGGCAACGTGGGCGCCCCGGCACACGCGTCGAATGAGTGATTTTTATTTGGCAAATGCGTGTGTAATTTAACCGGCGTCATGGCAATGATATAACGTATAACCCACTCCATTGCTTTCGGAAAAGTAATTTATCATGGGACCCGCTCCCGAAGAGGGCAGATCAGTTAGCACGCTTTAAATACCTGAACAAACGGTCGCCAGCAGCTGTAAGCCAAAGTTTTTGCCATTTCATAGGGCCTTATATATTAAATTTATTTAGCAAGAGGTGACACACACCGCATCGAAAAGTTGCCCTGCACAAGTTAAAACTCCACACCTTACTTTACAGCCCGGCGCAAACTTTTTCAGCATTTAAAAACTCATAAGGTAAAAAGTCTGTAGTCTCTGCGGAACTGCCTGTTTGTTTTTTTATTGAAAATGCTCATACAAATTTGCACATGTACAGAAATATCTTACATAATGATCTGTTGGCTATTTATTTTACCCAATTAATAAAAGTGGTTTTAGTCTGTTTCAAAGAAAATAGGTTAATAGCTATTTTATGTGTTTGAAAAAACCTTAAAACGATTAAATAATTGTACAATACTTTACCCTTTATGAGAGTATTTTAATGTTTTCTTATATGTACCGTTTCAGTTTTACAACCGATAAATAAGTAAAGTAGTTTGATTTATTTTATTTGCGATTTCAAATAATAATAATTACATAATTAATTTATTTCATATCTATTTTAGTTGAAGGATTTTTATGACATATTTTTATAGTCTGACAGCTGCATTTAACTTGTTGATTTTGTTAAAGGTTTGTTATGCAAGGGTATACAAATGTCTGCTGTCAAAAAACTATACCCGTTTTTTAATACGATATATTTACTTTAACCAGATAATTATTTTTATTGCATTTTTTGTGTGCATCAGTGGCAACCGTAAAATTCAAATATTTTCTCTGAAATAATAAACATTAACAGCCAGGCTGGTGAATTAATTCTGCTTTGTTGGCGAGTCAAATTAAATAAATTTGCTTAACATTTTTTTATGCTGGTCGATTGTAATGCATCCATCAAAATCAATATTAAGGTGTTAGTGCTGGTTGGATAGGTGGCATATTTGAATAATATGCTTGAAATGATTTTTTAAATTAGGCTCCGTGAACCGCACTGAGGATGGCATAATAAATGCGAGTCAAATCAAACTCCATTCATCAAAGTCAGCCATGGTCGCCTAGATTGCACCCATCTTCCCGGACTCCTCTGGCTGCTAAGTGAGTGATGCACGATGGCATCGGGGCAATCATCGCTCATAAGGCCCGCCAATTTGGCCATGACAAGTGATAGACACGCGCTTCTTAGCCCGGAGGAGCAGAGGGCAATGATGGGTGCCTTATTGCTCATCAGCATTTCAAATTTCACATTTCAATATTTAGAGGAGACAGCACGGGCACCTTATCAGACAGTCCGTCACTCGGGGAGTCACTTAAATAGCAAACACACAACTGTCGGTGACACAACAAGCGTTAAAACAAATCAAATTGCGTTGCCCCCACAAGTAAATACTCGCTCATATAACATATATTTTTTTTATGAAATTTTAATAACTTTGACATGTGCAGAGACAAGCTTCCAGCCGGCACATTGCCATCGTCAGCTGCTGTTGCTCCTGCTGCCTGATTTTTGTGTCCTCGTATTGATGTGCATGTTGTCCTGGCCCGCCCCTTTGTTGTTCCTTTGGATGGTGTTGGCGTTGCTGTTGCTGTGGCTGTCTGATTTGCACGACATGAACACGCGCTGAAATAACAAATCTTTTTTAGATTTACTCACGCATTTTGGCGGGGTGGCATCAAAATATTTTTATTACAAATGCAAATATTGACGCCCTGCTCGGGGAGTTTACTATATAGTTGTCATGCCTTGGGACGCCCTGAGGGTTTCTCCTTTTTTCTTTTTTTTTGTGCGGCAAATTCGGCACTTCAGGGTGCTTGGGAGCTTAAAAGGGGTGGGTTCGGTTTGGTAGGGGGGTTAATCAGCTGTTTTGGGGGTGGCTTTTAGCAGGGTTGCTCAGAGCGTACAAGGATAATGTGGCGATAATATCAAGAAATATCTAACCGATGAGTACCTTTTTAAGTACGCTATAATACCACTTTCTAAACATAAATCTACTTTATTTCAACTAAAATTTCTTTAGTTTTAAGACTTTTACTCTACTACCTTTCCTTGCAACCCTGTTTTCCATTTAAAAGTCCTTTTTGCCGCCAAAAAGCAGTGCGCAGAAGCTCTCTTCCTCGAATTCGCCGCATCCTGCGATGATTTGCCGCCAAAGGACTTGGCCACAACTCAGTCAGTGGCCAGTTACCAGAGCAGGCGCTCATCGCCACGGATTGCTGACCTGAACGGGCCCAGAAGGAGAGGCCTGTCAACCAGCAATAAATACAAAAACCACAACGAAAGCCAATTGAAACCTGTGGCCACTTGTCACAAACGTAACCGAAAGTGCCAGTGACAGTTGTTGTTATATTCTTGGCATCTGTCTCGAGTGGTAAAAGCAAAAGAAAAGAAAGAGGAAAATAAAAGAAAATTTATATACAAATAAGTACAAGGAAAAACCGGCTGGACAGCGGAGTTCGCGTGTGTGTGTTTCGATTTTGCGGCACTACAAAAACCGATACGATACGAAACTCCATTTATGACCGCCGTAAGTCGTAAGCCGTGAGTTGTGGGTCGTCTTGTACGTGTTTACGTTATATACTATATCTAAAAAAAACAAGAAAAAGAAGGAAAAACGTGCGGCAAATTGCGGGA